TTCAGAGGGAGCCTGCCCCTCCCCCCTGCTCATGCTATCTCACGTTCTTTCTCTCTCAAATAAATAAATAAAATCTTTAAAAAAATAAATAAAAAAATAAAGATAATTTCAAAATAATAGGAGAGACAATGCCACATCCCAAAAACAAGTGAGCAGAACTTTTTAAATATCTCAGCCCCTGTCTACATGCATTAGGCCATATGCTTTGGAGCCGTAATATATTAATCCAGCTTTTCACCATGAATGGTAATAATAGTCATCATGTGTTGGGTACTCACCACAGCCATCACTCCGTTAAATATTTGAGGAGGATTACCTAATTAAATGCTCAAAACAATCCTATGTAGTAGGTATTGTTATTACTTCCAGACTCCCTTGCACCAAAGTCAGGGTGCTCCAGACCCTTCCAGCATCATGCTAACCCTCATTCATAGTACACAAATGGGAAGGATATTTAGGTCCAGTACATTTGCATCGAAAAGCAGAAAACCATTTCCAAGTTTACCAATTATTTTTCAAGGACAATTCTACTATTTTAGTGGCATTATTTGTTCGGCCTCCTTAAGAGTGTGAGGAAATTAAGATTTCTGAAGAGAAAGGATTTCCCTTTCTGGAAAAATCTATCATAATCCTTTTTTTTTTTTTTGTGGAGAGAAGGAGGGTGGGTATTACATTAAAATTGCAATTGTATACAGATGCTTAACGAATATATCTAGGTAACTATACTTGAACATCTAGGAAAGTAAAATATACCTGTAAGTGATCTAATCTAAAATCCAAGCCCTCTGACTGTAAGATGAAAAGCAGAGTCCAAGAGAGGTTAAGGAACTTGCTTGGAATCATCCAGAGTGGCAAAGCCAGCAATGAATCTCAGGTCTCCTGATTATTAACCCAGAACTCCTTCCACTTTTCCTTTCTGCCTCCTAGCCTTAAAACAAAAGATTGGAAGGAACAAACTGGACTGGAAAAATATAGCATTCATTCTAATAAAACGAACCATCAAGGCATTATTATTTAGTGCTCTTCCTTCTAGAAAGAGATGTGGGGGGCGCCTGGGTGGCTCAGTCGTTAAGCGTCTGCCTTCGGCTCAGGTCATGATCCCAGGGTCCTGGGATCGAGCCCCGCATTGGGCTCCCTGCTCGGCGGGAAGCCTGCTTCTCCTTCTCCCACTCCCCCTGCTTGTGTTCTCTTTCTCGCTGTCTCTCTGTCAAATAAATAAATAAAAACTTTAAAAAAAAAAAAAAGAAAGAGATGTGGCCCCAGATTTAATGTATCCCACATAGTTCCTATGAAGATGATGCTGCCTGGCAACCACATCTCTAAACCAGGTCCTGCCTGGCAACTGCATCTCTATCTCAGGTCCGGCCCGCCCTCGTTCACATCTTCCTCCATCACTTGGAAGGCATAGGTTTCCTTAAAAGTATTCATCCTGGCAGCAAAGAATGTAAAAAGAAAACTGTCCTTTCCCACACACATTCGGAAATTACATGCATGAAACTGCCAGGCAGACATGAAATAGACAAATTCTTCATCCAGAATTTGGCAGCTTTGCTGAAAGTCCAACATCATGGTTAACAACATCGCCATGTTATTTGCAAGGCAGGAATTACACAGTAAGCAGATCACTCTTCTGTTGGAGGTGGAGGCTGGGCATTTTCCAGGGTTGTTTCCAAAATGACAGGAGTGTCACTTCCTGCCCCTTTGCCCAACCTACCTCAGGGAATGATTGGTAGAGATCCTAAATAATCCTGACCAAATAATTGGCTTAAAAAAGACGTTAAGTAGGATACGCCAAACAGTCAGAATATCCTTCAAAATACAAAGAGAAGCAAGCAGGTGGAAGAGAAGGAAATTCCTAGTTCCATTAACTTGCCATTCCCTTGAAAAAACTTAGACTATTTTTCACCTTGACTCCCTTACAGTAAACATTTGTGGTTTGAGCTTGCCCAGCATCCTTCCAGCCCTTCCTCTGGTATAATCACCAGAATCTTCCCTCATCTTCACTCATCCCCCTCTCTCAGGTCTTGTGATTCAGAAGGTGAGGGTCCCCCTATGATCCTACCCCCCCCAGTGCATTGGGGTGGGCCTCTGCTACCATTATTGCCAACCTGTTTGTCCATCCCATTGACCCCAGTTATTAGTTCTGGAACAGGCATGGGATCCAAATGGATCGCCTAAGATTCGGGAATATGGGTGGAATATATTAGGAAAGAAAAGTTGAGCTGATTGGCTATACTTAGAGCTCTGGAGTGGGGTGGAGGGGCAAGGGCACCGGTGAAAAAACCGTAGCTTAGAATTAAACCAGTGACGTGCAAAGCCAAGTGAATAGATCAAGAAAGAATAAGAGACAAATTCCTGGTGACAGTGTTTGAGCACCCAGACCCAGCCATGAATCAGCTGATCTCCTGTTTTACTCAAGCCATTCTGAATAGGGTTATAAGCAAAACAGCCTTGACTAACACACATCTCCTCATAAATCAAAATCCAGCTTAATTGTAACCCCTCTTCTGTTTGGCCTTTCCTGAGGATCCCACATTGAGAGGTAGCTATGTGCACTCTCCTTGTGCTATTTGTCTTTATACCTACTTCTCTAATTGTACTTTTCATTTGGCATTGTGTTTATTGCCGGGCTTATAGATTTAGGGTAGAGTTAATGTCTTATTAATCACTGAATTTCTAATACTTGTCCAATGCCTCAGACATAGTAGTCCCTCAAACGTGTGTGTTGAATTGAATTTGATTCTAACTACTCTTTCAGTGAACACTGCACCCTTCAACGAGTTCCCATTACACTTAGAATGAAGTCCAAACTCTACCATGGATCTACATGATCTGCCTGCCTCTCCCATCTCAGATCCTTCTACAGTGGCTCCGTGCTTTTCCATGAGTCTGTCCCCAACTCAGAGTCTTTGCATTTGCTGTTCCTCCTTCCAAGAAAGCTCTTCTCCAAGATAATTGTAGCTATAGCTCGACTACCTCACTCATTCTGCTACATGTGCTCTACCCGCCTGCCTCCAGAGAGCCTCTGACAATCTTACCCACAATAGCACCTCCATCACTCCGCAACCCTCTCACCTGCTCTTTTTTCATGACCCTTATCAATGCCTGATGTATAGTACATTTTTATTTCTTCATTTATCACTGTCTTCACCTCTACAATGTATGAAGGGAGGAAACTGTTTTGTTTTGTTCATGACTGTATACCTGGCACCTAGGGATTCTTATGTTCTCAAAATATTGGCTGCTATACATTCTTAAAAAAACCTTACATTTAAATGTATGAAAAAAAGCAGATCCTAAAACTGAAGCCAACCTATGCAAGTGAACCCAACTGTATGTTAAATTATAACATAATCACATTAGGAAAAAAATAGAGTTAAGTCTTATAACTTTTAAACATGGTACTTTTAAACCTATAGTGAAATACAGTCTAAGGATGAAAGTAATTATAGCAAAAAATATTGAAAGTAACTTGGAGGTTTCCTTGTTGGTAGTGGTTCTGATGTAGTAATCGAAAATCATTGGGCACATATTGTAGGATTCAGCCAAGAGGGAAATATACTGATGCTGTTGGGAAACACGGTCCACAATGTGGGTGAAGGGGTATACAGAATGGGGAAAGGAAAAAAGAAACTTGTGATGTTGCATTAAAATTATGGGTATTAGTATGAAGTCATTCTGTTCCCCACTTCTGCCTCCAGAGAAAGTCAAAAAGAAATGGCATCCCAGTACTAATGAGCACACTTAGTGCTCAGATCTTGGTTTTTAAAACCACCCCCATTAAAAGGAGCCAGGGTTCCTTGAAGAAATGACTGATTCCAGGGCTAGGGCAGGGAAAGTAGAAGACAATCCTAGAGCATAGATTTGTGCCAAAAAGCAAGGAAATGCTCAAAGACTAATTGGGCCCCGTCAAAAAAGACACAAGAGCCAGTCTGAAGGGGCTCCCTCTGACCAAGTATGGGAAATATGAACATCAAAAATAATAATAATGGCAAAAAATTTTAACACATCAAGCAGAAATAACAAACCAAAATTCCACAGTGATATTTTAAAAAAAAAATAATAGAGAAGAAGAGGAGGGAAAGATCTCTATAGAAGAATACTAGATGATATCTATAGGATGATAGATCCCTCCAAATCACCATTTTATAAGCCCCAGGGGAACAACTGATTCAGAGGAATCATCAATGAATGCTAAAACTAGTGGGTGACAGATTTGGGGGGAATAGATTTTCACATGGTCTCACATTATTTATTAATTTCAAAAGGAAAAGGGTACCTTTCCAATGGTGAGATCAGGCAGATACCACTTGGACCAAGTGATCAAGTTTAGTATTGCCGATAATGAGACAACAGGTATTATGTGCTTCGTGATGTGATACAATAGAAGTACACAGCATTATCTGTGTAATGTTCCTGCCATAATGTGTTCACTGAATGTAAGCAATGAGGAAAGAACCAGACAAATTCAGAAAATGGGATATTCTACAGGGCACCTGGCCTAGACTCTTCAAAATCATGATGAATGACAACTACAACAAAAAAGGCAGGGGACGGGGGCTCCTGGGTGGCTCAGTTGGTTAAGCGGTTGCCTTCAGCTCAGGTCATGATCCAAAGGTCCTGGGATCAAGCCGCGTGTCAGGCTCCCTGCTCAGTGGGGAGTTTGCTCTCCCTCTCCCTCCACCAGACCCCCCCACCCCGGCTCAGGTTCTCTCTCTCTCAAATAAATAAATAAAATTTTTAAAAAAATGGCAGGGGGCTGAGACCTAACAACCCACTGTGATATACAAAACTTTAGGGAGCCCTGGATTTATAATAAAAAATGTTATGGAAAACATTTTGGAAGTAAATAGAAAATTTTGAATATGGGCTGAATTAATATTAATGTGTGTTTGTGTGTGTGTGTGTGTTTACAGACTGAATGCATGAATCACAATGTCATGACATATTTCAGTCCTGATGATATTGGAAGCACACAAGAAAACATGACTTCAACTTACCTCCCCAGTGGCATAAAAGTCATTTTCTTTATATTCAGGAAACAACAGGAAAAACTGAACTAATGCACTGCAAAAAGAACAACAATAAAAAATATCACATGGCATCAGAAGAGTTTAATGCTATGCTACCAAATCTAACTCTGACAATAGGTTTCACTTTTTTTTTTTTAAGATTTTATTTATTTATTTGACACAGAGATCGCTTCTCGGCCTTTTGGCTAAGATCAAGTGTATTTGACACACAGAGAAACAACGAGAGAGGGAACACAAGCAGGGGGAGTGGGAGAGGCAGACGCAGGCTTCCCGCCGAGCAGGGAGCCCAATGTGGGGCTCGATCCCAGGACCCCGGGATCATGACCTGAGCCGAAGGTAGATGCTTAACGACTGAGCCACCCAGGCGCCCCTAGGTTTCACATTTGAAGTAAGATGCTATTAGGCTGTGAGCTCTGGTAGGCATTATATTCAAAGTGTCATGTACGTGACATTCCACACTGTGGATGGTTAGGAAATAATTTTGGGCTTACTTTACCCATAAAGGTGAGTCAATACCCTGGGCAGGTTTCCAAATCTCTGCATTACCAACCTGGACCATCTAGATGTTGAGGGGACCCTTGAGCAAAGTGATATGGGCTTTCATCTATTATTATAGCAATTCTTGGAGGAGGTTCCACAAACCTTATGACCCCATTAACCCGGGTTTGTGGTGAAGTAATGAGAACCTTATTGGCTTACCATCCTCTTCCTATGGGGGAACCCTGAACATTTCTAATGGGTTTCCCCAAATTTCAGCATTGTAATAATCCAAGAACAACAACAACAACAAAAAAAAACCCCTGTAAAATGGCCATAGTCTACAAGAAAACCACCAAATGGCCAGATTTGGAAGTAACTGTCCAGTGGCATCTAGGCTCAAAAAAAAATCACACTATAGAACGCCAATAGCCACTTCAATGAGTTATACTGAAATAGATTTAAACAGACTCAAATTATTTCATAACAAGCAAGAAAAGGGTAGATTACTGAATGATTCTCTACTTGACCAAAATCTTTCAAAAAGGAAACAAAACTTATGAAACTCAGAAGCTCTAAGAGTGTGTTGACCCAGATTGCATTGTCTGAGAAGCTAGGCAGCGCTTTTGTTCCAGCTTCCTGCCGAGGGACTAAAAGCCATGAACTATCCAGCGAAGATGAAAGGCAAGGAGACCCTGCAAAACCAGGAGGAGGAGAAAGTTCAAGGGTTACAGGGAGGCAAAACTGGGTCATTACAATCCCCAAGATCCTGGCTGTACTTAATTTTCAAAGGTTCCATAAAAATCCACCATTAAAGACCACTGTAGAGCTGTGGTGTATTTCTGTATTTATTATTTATAGTAACTAAAGTCTTTGTAGCAAATAAATCTGGGAAGCTGCACTATATAGCTTCCATGTTTGTGCTGGCAATAAGCTGGCTTTAGCGTGGAGATAAAAATAGAAGTTTATTTTCCACCCTTCCCTCGCCACCCTTCAGGCTAAAAACTACTTCCCTGTCTCTCTTCCTGCTAGTTGGAATGGCAATAGACAATTTAATATAGTAAATCTCACTTAAGCCTTATGCTTTAGCTTAAAACTTACTTCCTTGGAGAATCTGTTAAAGTTGTTAGGGTTGCCAGCCTTAGCAAATAAAAATACAAGACGTCCAATTAAACTTGAATTTCAGATAAACAACAAATAATGTTTTCATGTAACTATGACCCAAATATTGCATGGGACATACTTAGAGTAAAAACATTATTCATTATTTATCTGAAATTAACATTTAACTGGGCGTTCTGTATTTCATCCGGCAATCTTAGTTCAAGGAGCTAACCTCTCAGGTTGCTTCTAGCTCAAAAAAGGCAGGATTTTCTAGCTCATGTTTCCAAGGCAAGGCCCCCCTCTTGAGGAAGTTATAGTTTTAATTTCACAAGAAGATCAGAACAAACATTCGGCTAATCATAGCAAGCCCTTGGTAGACCTTTCTTAAATGGGAGTGAAGAATGAAAAAAGTAAATTTAGTAAGTTGGATTTAGATATGCCATCTGCTTGTTTAACTGTGTTTTACTCCACTGTGTGTAATTCGTATTCCATGGTGAGGGTTTGCTTAAAAATATAATCTAGAATCAAGCCTACATAAAAGTTTCAAATTTTAGGGGCGCCTGGGTGGCTCAGTTGGTTAAGCGACTGCCTTCGGCTCAGGTCATGATCCCAGGGTCCTGGGATCGAGCCCTGCATCGGGCTCCCTGCTCGGCGGGAAGCCTGCTTCTCCCTTTCCCACTCCCCCTGCTTGTGTTCCCTCTCTCGCTGTCTCTCCCTCTCTCTGTCAATTAAATAAATAAATAAATAATCTTTAAAAAAAAAAGTTTCAAATTTTAGAAGCAGAATTGTTAAAATCTATAATACATAATGTACGTGTGTGTGCATGAGTGTGTGTGTGTGCGTGCACGCCACACATTTATTCAGGCACAAGAGATAGATGTCCCAGGAAGCAAGCCTCTGTCAGATGATTCTATTTGGCAACCTTGCTAGCACTGTGCCAAGGGCCTTGTCTAGTAAGTTGAATTTAGTCAAAGGCCACCTGGTGGCAGAAGGTTACATTAAAGGACAACAGGAAGAAACCGAGCTTGCAAGGGACAATGGCTAGGAAGAAAGTCTTCCTCAGATAAATTCTGTAAAAAGGGAAGTTGGTGGGTTCAGGGCACAGAAGGTAGATGGAAATGATAATGCACTAGAGAGTCTGGTGGAGTCAGAGGCATAATAAATATGAGACATTCAATAGAAGCGAGGTTAAGATACTCTAAACAAAAGTTCCACACCAACAAAAGCTAAACAAGGGACAGCATTAGTCACTAACAGTTCAAGTGAAATAAGTGCAGTGACAAGAAGCTTGTCGTTTTATTCTGTGGCAGCCTATCACATCCTCCCATTCATTCCTCACCTAGCACGGCTGGGCCCCGATCTGCTCTGCCCGTGCCAATCACGCAGTGTTCTCATTTAATATATGAAATCTGTGTCATGTCTTTGTTACGAGCTTTGTTTGGAATTGATATTATTTCCTATACAAACCAACAGATGGAACTGAACGATACTATCATTTCCATCCGCTGCTAGAAGCTAACTTCAGGCACGCCACTCAATGGTAAGCACCAGAGTGAGGACCCTGGGGCTGGTTGACTACTCTGTCACCTGCACCAGTAAAAGTGTCTGGCACAGAGCAGGCAATTGATAAACAGTGACAGAAGGAGAATGGCACCAGACAGTATACTCCAAATCAGTTAATAAATTCATTATTCTTTAGTACAATTATTTTTTTTTAACCTAAACCAAAGGGGCATTGTGGCTTAATAGTATGTTCCAAATACCAAAAATTCGAATATATAAACATGTTGTTAGTAAAAAAAAAAAAAAAAAAAAAAATTTACTTCCAAACACAAAGAAAAGCAGCCTGAGCGTGAATGTCAAATGCCTCTTTAGTAGGAGTCTACTCCTTACAGCCATGGACTATTAATAGTCAAAAGGAATGGGATTTTCAGGAAAAAAAAAAAAAAAGATGTTTTTCAAAGGGAGAAAAAGAAGGTCCACTCTTTAAACCTGTAGTAACCCGTTTATAGGTTTCAAAGAGACCTTCTTATTCCAAACACCCATCTGGAGAGCTGGAGAGAAGAATGTAGTCACAAAGGGAAACAAATAGTGTAAACTATAAAGGAAACAGCTGAAATCAGTTTTCTGCACTACCCTTGATTAGCTATTTTCCAGTTCTAAGAGCCTGAAGCAAAAAGAACTGAAACAGCTATAAACAATGGATGCTTTGAAATAGGTTCTCTTTACATGTCATGCAAAAGGAGATGTACCACATGTCAGCAGTAAATAACCACACGGAGGGTCAGCGGAAGTTGGGACCATCTTTGGGAGACGGGAAGGAGAGACAGAAAAGGAATGGCATGGTTGCATGCTCTGGCTTAGTGGGGATTGATGCATTTCTTGGAACCTCCGCCCTCTGGGTGTTTGCTAGTTAAACAACTGAGCTTGTTTAGATTTAAACCAAAAGAGGGTCGGAGCGGGTGGGGAGCAATGGCGGGGGGGGGGGGGGGGGGGGGGGGGTGGGGGGGGGGGGGGGGGGGGGGGGGGGGGGAGTAGGTTTCCTATCTGTAAAATGAGAGCACACAGTCGCTGCTCATGGTGCTTGAGTAAACTTGTAAGGATAGCCACCACAACTCTGTCTCTATAAGGAAACAGGAGGTGCCTGAGCTAGGGGCACAGGAGGGGGAACCCCTGTGGAAATCTGGCTAATCTGCTCCCAGGACCCACTGTACCTGGTAGCAAAAGTGTGGGGTCCTAGCCCTCCCCCCGGAAACTGAATGGAAGTGTTAAAATAAGGGGACATAGGACAAATGAAAGTGTAGAAAATAGCCACCATATTGTTTTCTGGGTCAGGAAGGAAGAGAGAGAGAAATATCTCTGGAAGAAAGGCCAAGTTCCTCTTTCCTCTGCCCCCCAGCCATCTGCCTTAGGGAGAAAGAAAAATAAAACGGAAAACTTTTGTCAGAGATCAAAAAACTCTGACTTCTATCAGATTTACTTTCACTTTAGGGATTGGTTGGGTTTGCTCACCATGCCGAATGAGTGTTTGGTGCAACTGGGGAATAGGGGAGCTGGTTAACTCTTTCTAGGCACTAGGATTTTTTTAGTAAATGATTATAATGCCTAAAGTAGGTGCCCTAGTGATCTGAAAGAATTCAGGATTTGATCTCTAGTAATAATTTACAGACTGGAAAAATGTGACCAAATAAGAATGGTCACTTACTTAAAAAAAAAAAGTACTAAAAATGGCTGTGACAAATGTAAGAAAAAGAAGAAATTATATGTACACTGTTTGACTAGGCTTACAACTTTACATTTTCCTTCCATTTTTTTCTTCTTTTTAGCACAAGAATAATTTTGTAAGATGAAGGAAAAAAGTAAGAGACTAGCTAGCAAACCGAGCTTTCAGCTTGGGAGTCATGAAGGAGAAGCAAGCGAGGGGAAAACAGCATTTGAAGGCCTCAGAGAGAAAGAAAAGAAACAAGCAAGCATGTAGGAAGATGTTTCCAGGCAAATGCAAAGTTAAAATGCAATGTTGAAAAGCAAGCAGAAATCCTCTCAGGCATATGGCTGAAAGGCTTGAAAAATGATCTTTGGTTGAATAATTCTGCTGTTTCTATTGTTTCTTAAAGGCTATTTTTACAAAATTATAATCATGCCTTAGGATTCCAGCTTTTCCTGTCATTTTCTCTGCTGGCCATTTTCACAATTATCGGTGATAAGGTAACGAAGTGGAAAATAGACCGTGCGTGCACATGCGCATGCATGTGGCTGTGAGCTCCTCATGCGGAAGTATTCTTAAAATGTCTTTAGTGCGACCAAGATGGCCGGGAGACTCGCCACCTTCCTCAAGAATGCCTAGGCCAAGGAGCCGGTGCTGGTTGCGTCCTTCACCATCGGGGGCCTCGCTCTAATTCTGCCCACCCTCAGCCCCTTCACCAAATACGCCACCATGATCAACCAGGCCACGCCCTACAACTATCCAGTGCCCCTCCGAGATGATGGGAACATGCCCGACGTGCCCAGCCACCCCCAGGACCCCCAGGGCCCAAGCTTGGAGTGGCTGAAGAACTTGTGAGCACCCCCGGTGACATGGAGGAGGCCCCTCCCCTGAGCCAATAAAATGCGAAAAGTGACCCCCCCCAAAAAAAATTTCTTTAAAGAATTAGACCACGAGGCCCAATCAGTAACACTTACACTATTGGATGAATTTCCCTATTGAAATAGAAAAATGTTTGGTCTGAAGAAGGCCAAGAGGGATCCAGGACCTTTTACCTGTATAAATTCCGTGCCACATCATCCTCATTGACTGCATATCCCTGGGGGTCGTCAGTAAAACTGAAGCCTGTGCCCACCTGAAGGTGAAATAAATAAGCAGGTGTAAACAGAGAAGCACAAGCCTCGGAGCCCTCCGGAAGATACCACACTGTAAGGAAATCAACCTTATTCCAAAGGGCCAAGCCTCTGATCTTGGATTTTTGCCTCTACCCCATGTGCATTTAGTCATCCTCACAGGAGGATGCTGCATTTCGCCTTTTTCCTCCCCTCTCGTCCAAGCGCAAATAAAATATCAGCACCAGGTGGCTCAGTCGGTTGAGCGTCCAACTCTTGGTTTCCGCTCAGGTTGTGATCTCCGGGGTTGTGAGATCAAGCCCCGTTGTCAGGCTCTGCGCTCAGTGCAGAGTCTGCTTGGGATGCTCTCTCTCCCTCTTACCCTCCACCCCCACCTCTTGCTCTCTCTCTAAAAAAGAAAAAAAAAAAATTAGCACAAAAGTCAGTGGCTGAGCTGTCCTGATTCCACCGTGGTTGATTTGATTTGATGTTGATTTAAAGGGGAGGAATTCACCTTTCCTGGCCCGCAACATAGTATCAAAAGACCCAAGGTGTCTCCTTTCTGAAACCTGGAGAGTGCATTGCTCTGTCCTGACAAGAAGGAACTCTCTAGGCTCGGGATAAAAGATGGGGTGTCTGTGTGTGTGTTTTGATTTTTCATTTGTGAGAAATACGGCCACTAAGCCCCTTCATATTCAGTAAGTAGGTTTTAAAATAAAGATTAGTTTTAAACTAATATTTCCTTATACCTAGAGGTTCCTCGACAACTAAGCTGTAAAAATAAGAAGCTATCGCTGATTTTGCATCAATAATTTGTATAAGGGGTGCACCTCAACCACACCTAAGTATTTTGATTTTGTTTTTGTTTTCCCCAAACACACAAGGGAACAGGACATTTCATTCAACTTAGGCAACATAAATATGCAGTTATATAGACTAGGAAAGAGGATGTTTGACAAAACTTGTTGCGAAAGGGGGGGGGAATGGGTATGTTGTTCTCCTTTCACTCCCTATTTATCTGTTTTCTCTTTGAACCATCTGGGAAGTGAAAGAAATCAGAGAAATTAGCTAGGGGGTAAAGATACTCCTGCCGCAGAAGCTGACCAAGACTATTTTGCTGTTTACTAGACTCAATTTCAGAAGAACTTCCCAAGGAGAATTCTACTTTTTATTCCGAGGTGAGGCTCACTGTGATAAATGAGGGAGACCAGCTTTGACTTTTTAAACCTAGAACTCTGTTAGAAAAATTAGGAATTCTAATACTATATAATAATCCATGATATGGGGAAGCCATATAATCAGTGGAAAGAAACTAATCCCTTATCCTGGATGGTATAATGCACTGAACAGGACATTTCATAAGATTTAAAATGAGAGGGGCGCCTGGGTGGCTCAGTTGGTTAAGCGACTGCCTTCGGCTCAGGTCATCATCCTGAGTCTCGGGATCGAGTCCCGCATCGGGCTCCCTGCTCAGCAAGGAGTCTGCTTCTCCCTCTGACCCTTTTCCCTCTCGTGCTCTGTATCTCTAATTCTCTCTCTCTCAAATAAATAAATAAAATCTTAAAAAAAAAAAAAAGATTTAAAATGAGACAAGGAGATAAGATAGCAAGCAAAATTCCCAAACTCAAAGGATACATGTTAGAAAAACTAAATCCCAAATGCTTTTTAATAGATTAAATTCTATTTTAAAAAGCAAAAAAAAAAAAAAAACCCTAAATCTCTATTTCCTGCCCCCCATCTCTTATTAAATATATTTTATAAAAAGAAAAAAGACAAGAGAGGCCCACATTGACATTTCATAAGGTCATCAGATACTCACTGGATTATCAATGTAAAGCATGGAAAGTGTGGTGGTCCAAGCAAAGTCTCTGAGACGCACTAGCAAAACAAAGAGGTTTGAGACTGGGTCTTTAACAAAACATCCCACCTAGGGCCCAGCTTTGTTCAGGAGCCCAACAAGCCCACCTGTCCCCATCCTATCAATGAACTCCCGGTGTCCCTCTGACATTGCTTCATACTCTCGCAGTGGGGAACAGACACCAATACCGTTTTCTTCTCCTCTCCTCTCCTTTACTTTTCCTGGACCCCGAGGGTTTCTACATCCTTTTCTAGGATGAAGTTTGGAAACAAGACCCCATGCAACTGGAAAAACTCATCAACTACCTATAGGGGTAAACCCATCTGTCTGATCCAATCAACCCTTCTTAATGTCTGATCCTTATGAATCTTCTTTCTCCTAGCCAATGCCAAGGAGAACAACTCCAACAGAAATGGCAGACATGCTTTTTTACCTGAGTCACAGAATGGTTCACCCTCCAAATTCTGGCCCAGGGCAAGTAAACGATCTCCCCCACGCCCCAAAAATGAGATGGAGGTAAACTTGGGTGACAGCCAGGTGTGACTCCTCCGCTCCTTCCTCTGCCCCCGCCCCCACCCACAGCATCTTGCCTCCAGGATATCTGATCATTTATGCGACTGAACCATACGGTGTTCAGTTTGTGTGAATAATTAGGGATATAATTCCATCCATTAGTCTCATGCAAAAGAGCTCACCCAAAGAGTAATAGATACCAACTGTTTTCATAAGCCCAGATTGCTTGAGTCAGCAGCAGACTGCAAGAAAATAGCTTAGAACCTTTCAACCAAATTTCAAGGGAGAAAGCAGCCCAGCCAGGATACTCACCCTGGTTCCTTCTCCTTCTTGGACAGACATCACCAAAGAGCGACGTTTTTATCATCTAAAACTATTATGTTATTCCTTGTGGTTCCACGTACACTTTAAATTTTTTCTGGAGCAGATATAAGGTTCAGGTGAAAACCTCTCCATAGGAAAATAGAGTTCAAGCAATACTTACAGGTCATGTTACTTGTGACAAAATAAGGTCCGTGTTCCACAAAGAGTCCAAACATGGATGAACCTCCGGGCCCTCCCTGCAGCCAGAGGGCCACTGGAGCAACCGTGGGGTCTACCTAAGGGGGACAAAGAAGCCAGGGACCACACAGAGTACTAAGCCAAAGAATACACTCGAGCAAACTCATCCAGATCCCGCGTCATTCACTGCCTTGACTACATCTCCCAAAGCCTTCCCCAGACCCCAGTGACTGCTCTCCATTACGAGCCAAGTGCTGGTTATCTCTTGCCTTGAATTAGTATCTGCCCCATAATGCCAGTATCTATGTTGCTCAGTTCAGTCTTACCAAGCCAATAGCCAGGAAGCCCACTGAATATAGAAGCTCATATGCCCCTAGAAACCCAGTACATTGCCTAGGGCATGGTTATATTGTTTTAGCGGTTTCAACTTGCATTTGACCAACATATTCCCACAGAGGCACAACCAACAGTCCCTCCTCCTCAGTGACAGTTGGCCCGCTTCACTGGGAGCCCAAATGGCCCTTCGGATTTGATTCATCAAGAGGGTGTTCACAAGGACAGCAACCACTTCCTTCAATGCGCGGGAGCTGAGAAGAACCGCACAGGCCTGGAGTGGTTCAGCCAATGCAAACAACAGCAACAGAAACCCCAAGCAAGGTACAACTTGATTAAGGAGGCAGAGAAGAGGAAGTAAGAAAAGGTCATTGGCAGGGCTGGGGTGATGAAAATGAGCTTCTGGCAGTAGAGTCAATACCATCAACCTCCATGAGAGAGGGGTCTTTACTTCTTTCTTCTTTCTTTACATATCTATTGAGCACCTTGTAGGGGTCAGGCACTGTGCTGAAAGTAGCTACATAGCAGGGCAGTGAGTTAAAAAAAAAAACCAAAAACCACTTCCAGCTTATGTTTTCATGGGAAATACAGACCATAAGTAAAGGAAAAAACTTGATGATTAAAGCATGTGGAAAGGAAATAAAGGTGATGTTAAGAGAGTGGGTGAGGGGGCACCTGGGTGGCTCAGTCAGTTAAGCGTCTGCCTTCGGCTCAGGTCATGATCTCAGGATCCTGGGATTGAGCCCTGCATCAGGCTCCCTGCTCTGCAGGGAGTATGCTTCTCCCTCTCCCTCTGCCTGCCGCTGGCCCCCTGCTCGTGCTCTCTCTCTGTCTCTCTCTCTGACAAATAAATAAAATCTTAAACAAACAAACAAAAAAAGAGTAGGTGAAGGCAGAAAAGAATAATGCTTCCTTTAAACACAAGTGATCATCGAAGGACTCAGTGAGATCCTGAGCTGAATGAGACCTGAGTTCTAGAACCATCCAGCCATGAGAGGAGCCAGGGAACACCACAGACAGAGGGAAATGGGAGGGGAAAATCCCCCCAACACAAAAGAGCTGGATGTGAGAGTGGTGAACGACAGGCCACCTGGCCCTAAGGGAATCCTCCAGAGCTATCTGGAAGGAGCTCAAAGTGGCTCCAGGGAGGCTCACAGTGGGATGTGACAGTGAGCGCTCTCTGGGTGTTGTGGCTCATTTGATGTTCAGTCAACCGGGCTCCACAAGCAAAGATCTCATTGCTTCAGCTCAGAACAAAATCCTGCAACCCCTCCCCTTGCTTAGCCCAGTCACACAGACACCAACCAGTGTTTCATTTGATGGTCTGAGTGGCCTGCTGTGTCCCCATGGGTGATGTGGGAAGGCTGTGGGCAGAGGCAGACTGACTCAAGGGGAGGCGATCTGGGACACCACCACCAAGAACCTGGAAGAAGAGCTGAGCACAGGGTTCTAGCCGGGAGGACAGATGGGCAGAAGTCACCAGAAGTCTGACATAGTCCTTTAGCAGCTTCAGAAAGGGGACAAGGGGGACTTGCAGAAAGAGGGGTGGTGGTAAGAACAGCTGTAAGCTGGACAAGAGCCTCTCTATGAGGGGGCCAGCATCAAGGAATTAAATGAGATAAAATTTGTAAAGCCCTTGGAACAATGCCTAACGTCTGATAAAGGCACAAGAAGTGTAAACAATTATTACAATTAAAGAAACAGGTAGAAAAAGGTAGGAGGCCAGAGTCAGACTGGGAACTCAGATCAGCAGGGCTCTAACTCAGCCTGGTATAATGAATAAGTGTGTGAGCTCTTGCCCCAAACTGGATTCAGATCTGGGCTTTACTATCCACTAGCTATGTGGCTTTAAGCAAGTTGCCTAAGCTCTCTGAACCTCAGTTTTCTCATCTGTACAATCAATAATAGTATTATGAAAAAAATAATAATAGTACCTATGCCATGTGGTTGATGGGAGGACTCAAATTAATCTTCAAAGTTTAGTGAGTAGCATAGAGTACGTGTTCTGCACACGTTAGCTATTGCTGTAATAAAGGAACACTCAGAATTTATAGTTTTAATGGAAAAGATCTATAAATGAGGGAATAGGAAAAGCGGGTCCTTGCTCCTTTGGCTGATATCTTCCCTGGTCAGTTTTTCACTAGTTAGCCCCTTGCCACAAGGGTTGCAAAAGTCCATAAAGAATTCAAGAGACTTGTCTTATAAGTTGAAGCAGGAAATACTAATACAGCCTTCTAAGGCTGCTGTGGCGACGTAGGGTGAGCCCTGGATCAGTAGCCACACAGATTCTGGTCCTGCTTGGCCACAAAATAGCTGTGTGATCCCGGCCCTCCAATCCTTCCAGCCCAGTTTCCTTATCCATCAAATGGCAACAAGGCCACCTCACAGACATGAGAAAAAGTATCATGAAATGATATTGCAGACTCTGCTGGGCCGATTAAATAGAACCAGCTCCGACCTAACCTGCCTGGCCCCAACTGTGGGTGCCTTGTTTGAATCAGTGATTTTTAGCTCCCCTCAGACCCTCCAACTCGCTCTTCAATACCACTCACCAGGACCACCTCCCACTTGTGAGCGTATTAGCGGTGGAGAAGCAATGGATCTCAATGGGAGCAGTTCCAGCCTCCCCGGGGATGTGAGGGGTACTGTGCGTCCACTCATGCCAGTGGACGCCCAGCCCCCACTTCCTTCCTAATGTGCACAGGAGCTTCTAGAAGCCACGGTGTGCTACATGTGAGCCAATGATTCTCAACCTTGGCCACCCATTAAAATAGCTTTTTAAAAAATTGCTGCCTAGGCCCAAATCCCAGCGATTCCAACTCAACTGGTCTGGGGTGAGGTAGGCATGGATGTTTTTCAAAGTCCCCAGGTGGTTCTGATGTGGAGGCAGGGCTGAGAAATTTGTGAGGGCGAAGGAAGTTTGTCCTCTTGGGTGCCTGGGCCCTCTGGTCTCTGCCCTATCCTCCCCTAGCTTTTCATGTCCCTTCCTGTGACCTGGCACAATGATGAGACCTCTGGGCTCTCAGAAAAATAGCCTGACCCTGAGAGGCCACACTACAAAGTGAAGTCAAACAGATCGGTGCCAAACATCTTTATTATGCAACTTTGAAGTACAGGACACTGCATTCTTGGAATGCTTCAATAATAAGAGATCAGCATACACACCTCCAACCTCAGCTGACCTTGCTCCTCAAATGTACTTTCCTGAAGGAGGTGAATGAGCTCAACAACCCTTAAGGAAGCCCATTTTTTTCAAGAAAACGCCATGCACACATCTTTCTACTTTGATATGCCAACTAACTAACCTATGAACTAACACTGCCCTTATCGGGAATAAAATGCAAAAGTCAGATGCTGGAAAACAAAGGTTTACATATTCAGTGTTAAAATCCCAAGAGTTAGTTATACCACAGCACGCAGACTTTTGTAATATGATATGACATCCTGATGTCATACATATAATAATAATTACATCAATAATAATGGCATAAAGCTATTATGTGATAATTTGCAGGATGATCTATTTAGCTCTCAATTGTGAGAATGCAGCCCTCTCTCACTCTCCACCCCAACTTAGGAACGAATAAAAGTAAATGAAGACATCCTGAACAAAACCACATTGTAAAACTTAAGCTCAAATAAAGTAAGAAACAATTGCTCTAATTTATTTACAGATTTACAAAGGCCAGGGCTTTTAAAGTATTTATGATTTTGAAGTTATAATTCAAGAGTGTATGGAAGAAGAGAAAAAGGGCATTTATTTTTGTCAAAAGTTTTAGAAATTTTCCTTAACATTTATTGTTATAAAGAAAACACTTATTCTTAACTAATAGTTTTTTAAAGAAGGTATTAAAAAAAATCCCCCTTACCCCACCAGTCATGATCCCTAGAAATGATCATGGAGATGGTTTAATCTTCCATATTCTTCTCTAACTCCCCAACACATACATATATAAATATTTTGTAGATGTCATATAAGCCATGTGTGTAAATACCTTTTTTTTTTCCTGAAAATAGGACGAGGCTATATGTAATATTCTATATTTGCTATGGTCACTTAATATATTACAAAAATCTTTCCATAACAGTACATATGATGATTTAACTAAACAGTATGGCATTCTGAATTTACCACAATGTATTAATGCATTTAACATACAACACTGACAGGCACTGTTCTAAGCCTGGGGATGCAGCCCAGCTTTCACTCATGGACAGGTAGGATACTCAGTGGTTAAGAGCATGGATTTTGGCACCAGAATGCCAAAGTCTGAATTCCAACTACCTTATTTTACAGCTGTGTGCCCCTGAGCAAGTTGCTTAACTTCTCTGTGTCTCAGGTGTCCTCTGCTTAAGAATTAAAATGCCTATCTTATATAGCTGTGGCACAGATTCAAAGAGTTAATATATGCACAGAACTTAGAATAGTGCCTGGCACATCTATTTAAATGTTAGCTCTGATTTTTTTCTCTGGTGAGGTGGGAAGATAGGTAATAAATAAGTAATTAAATAAGTGGGTGATGTAAGAGGGCAATGGAAAGCCATTAGATTGAATACTTAAGGCGTCTGGTGAGGGGCTAACATTTGAGCTAGGACCTGAAAGATGAGTAATCCCCTACTGATAAGCACTTATACATTTAATTAAAAAGAAAACAAAAATCTCTGTTAATGACCTATAGGTCCGAGTAGTGTAGTAGGAACTGGGGACAAAGAAGGCACAAAGAAATTTTAAATATAAGAGAAAGGACATGGGGAGTCATAAATA